AACCGGCTAGATTTAATAAGTATGGGATCATTGAATTGATTGAGTTGGTTTAATTGTTTTATGTTTTCCGCATGTTGTATTGATCCAATTGAGGATTATTATCTGTGATGATAATAATCTGAAGAGAAATTTTTAAATTTTTGGGTCGGGTCGTTTCAGTCACTGCTAGAGCTCTGGAGGGACCGGGGCCAGACCCTGGTCTCTCTGGATCCACCGGATGTTAGAGACCATCTAACATCGCACCAAATCTCAACCACAACCTCTTTCACAAGCTCGACTCTTCCTCGCTTAGATCGAGACTTGACGCTCTTCTCTTCCCTTTGGTACTGGTCCCAACAGAGGCATAAAGATTTTTTTCGCGAGTTCTTTGCCGTGAATACTTCGGTTCAGATAACCGCAACATGCTCCTTGGGTGAAGTGGACCTGGCCCAACAAGCTGATTTGATGGGCTTTTTTTGGGAATTTTTTATTAGAAAAAGGCCCATCAACTTTTATTCTTTATGCTTCAACGCTTTCTCCTATGGAGAAATTAATACCACATGCTTCCTCTTGCAGTGGATTCTTAGTAGGCCTTCCATGGCCTAGTCCGATTCAAACTTCTTCCATATCAGGCATGGTCGTATTTTCTTCCCTTTTTATGAGAGTGGTCATATCCTCTTCCCTCTCGTTGAGAGTGGTCGTATTTTTTTCCCTCTCTTTGAGATTGGACTTAGTCTCGAGCTTTATGCTCGAAAAACTTAAAAAATTTCTCACCGTTTTGCTTTCTTATGTAGCAGTCTGTCTGGACCAGAAGAAGTGGCCGGTTTCGTTTCGACGATTACTGGAGATAGGAGTTCGATTTCAACGTCACACAGGAAATTGACCAATTTGAGAGTTTCCGGCTTTGCCGCGAAGACTATTTTGACGCATTTGAGGCAAGCGTTGGATCGCTTGTCCATCTTTCGAGATGATCTATCTGCTCTAATTTCTATTGCGTTTCAATTATGTGTTAGTATGCTTAGAGGATGTTTAATTCTCTCTCTTTGTATCATGGATACATTGTTTTGAAAATCGGACAGGACCAGAGGTCGGACCGGGTTCAACCGTGAACCGGCCAGCTAGCAAGGTTCGGTTGACCCGGGTTTGAGAA